AAAAAAAAAAAAAAAAAAAAAAAAACAGAAAAAATAAGTCGGTCGTTTAATCCTCAGATCGTCGCCGATTTTGTGTGGATGACGGGAAAGGACGGCGATGGCGACGCGATATCGGCGACTCGAGGCAGGGGCCTTGAAAAACAGATTTGAAGGTTCATCGGAGATGGCGACCTTCCCTCATTGCCTGAGTTGAGAGCGGGTTGATAGTTGAGAGCGGTGGCTGCAACGAGGCGGAGGCGACGCGGTGACTGCCACGAGGCGGCGGCGACGCGGTGGCTGCAACGAGGCGGCGGCGACGCTGTGACTGCAACTCGACGGCGGGAGAAGAAGCTAGCATCGCCGTTGAGGAGGTGGATATGACGTGGTTCGGCCAATTGAAGCGGTGGACTGGCGGCGCCTGACGAATTTCGGCGACTGAGGTGGTGTGGATTGGTGGCTGCCGGAGTTTGTGTATGTGTGTGTGTGATTTCAGATCTGAAATCGATTTGGTGTGAAGGAGGGTGATGAAAAGGAAATAAAATGGGTACAAGTTAGGGCATGAGAAAATAATGAATCCTCTGTCGAGAACAAAAAAAGAAGAAGAGAAATTTGAGTAAATAAAATGAAATGTAATTTTAGAATAGTCGGTGGTTTAATTGAGATATGTAATTCTGTATAGTGTGAATGTTAAGAATGAAATATTTAAAGATCTTTTATGTAAATTTATTAAAACTTTTTTTAAATAAGGGTAGTTTAGTATTTACACAAATCATTAGCGACACTTGGCATTTATTTGAGACATACCTGTTGTTATGCATGTACGAGGCATGTACGAGGGGTACCTGACAGTAGAATTACCCTAGTAAGTATTTAATGTATATACTAAATAGGAATATATTTGGTATAATCAAATACCAAATATAATCAAATAAGTCAAAGTGTACATTTTTATTTGGTATTTGATTTTTTTATTATTAAAATCTTTTTATTATACTTACCTTTTTAAAATAAAACAAATAAATCAATCAATTAAATAAATAAAATATTATAATATCAAAATAGTAATGGCATTTAATGCAGTTGACTTTTCTAGATAGTAAATGTAGTAAATAGAATCTCCTTTTATATAAGTATAGATATGATATTATATTATGTTGCTCAAAATAGCAATGCATTTATTGCATTGACTTTTCAACTTACTAAATTTCGTAAATGGTACACCTTATTATATAAGTATAGATGCCGGCTGATGTTAGTATTATTTTTTCACAACTATTAGTAACTAAAATACTAGCCTTAATTTAAACACTATATATGATTTTTTTGGCGCGCCAGCTGCTTCCATTATATGATCTCTGTTCAGAGTTCACACAAAAGAACAAAAACAAAAACAAAAAGCCCCGTGAACCATAAGAGCCGACATAAAGGTAATAATTCAAGAATCTACATAAAGATCTTATTTCTCGAGCTTTAGTGAACTGAATCGAACTCGAATCATTAACTAAATCGATTGTTAAACGAACCAAGTCGAGCCAAACTTGAACCTAAACAAACCTAGCAATACATAAAATCCTAATACACCTAACAATCAACTCAAAACACAATGCATTAACAAAAACAAAATCAATCAAACATAATCCAAAAAAAAAGAAAAAAAATCCCTTCATCTACTAAATCTCCGTTTCTGAACTAGAAGCATAATAACCCTATTTCTGGAACTTTAACGAGCTAAACCGAGCTCGAGTCATTAACTGAACAGGTTGTTAAACGAATCGAATCGAGCTAAACTCGAGCCTAAACAAACCGAACAATACATAAATTCCTAACCAATCCTAATTCACCTAACAATCAACTCAAAACACAATGCATTAACAAAAACAAAATCAATCAAACATAATCCAAAAAAAAAAATCCCTTCATCTACTAAATCTCCATTTCGGAACTAGAAGCATAATAACCCTATTTCTGGAACTTTAACGAGCTAAACCGAGCTCGAATCATTAACTAAACAGGCTGTTAAACGAATCGAATCGAGCTAAACTCGAGCCTAAACAAACCGAACAATACATAAATTCCTAACCAATCCTAATTCACCTAACAATCAACTCAAAACACAATGCATTAACAAAAGCAAAATCAATCCAACATAAACCAAAAATTAAAAAAAATAATAATAAATTAAAAAAATCCCTTCGTGGTCGAATAAATCGACTAAATCGCGGTTTCGGAACTAGAAGCATTAGACATCATCATATTCTTAAACTCCCCGAAATCCAAAACCCCGTCCGATTTCTCGTCGTACGTGCCAATCATGTCCTTACCGTCCTTCCCGGTTTTCGGGTCCCACAACCCTAATCTCGACAACACGCTCTCCAACTCCTCGGACGATATGTAGCCGTCTCCGTTCAAATCGAAAACATTAAATGCCTCAAAAAGCTCGTTTTCGTGCCGCCATTCAGTTGTCTTCGATTTCGATGACTCGTCCGTGCAGGCCTCGTAGAAGAACAAGAAGTCAACGAAATCGAGGGTTTTTCGGCTCGCGTAACTTTCGAGCTCGTCGGGTGTCGTGCGGGCCCCGACGAGCTTGAGAAGGCCGTGGAGTTCTTGAATGCTGACGTGGCCATTGTTGTTTTTGTCGAGGTTCTTGAAAATCCTGTGTAGATCAACTGAGCTGATTGGAGGCATGTAAGGGGAATTTTTTTTTTTTTTATCTTTTTTTTAATCAAGAAAAGAAAGAATGGGAAATAAAATTTAAATGTAAAGAAGAAATGTTTGTAGCTTTTTGTGTTAAGTAATTCATGGAGTTTGTAGCTTCATATATGAAACGTATATATATAATAAGGTGAGTTGTGTAACGGTCTAAGTCTAAGAAAATTTAAGTTTGATTATTGGGGGTCCACTAATTAAGGTGAGTTTAAATAATTTTTAGGGGAAATTTCGCGGTGGCAGAAAAATAGGAAAAAAATATTAATGATATGAAAAAACAAAATAATTAATTAAAGGAGACCATACATTAGATTGATTTGTATTAATTTTGTTATTAAATGGTTAGACAATCATATTTTCTTAGAAAAAAATAAGTATATTATATTATAAAATGTCATATTTATGTTTATATTATATTTTAAATTATGTCATTTGACAATAAAAGTATGTTTTATTTGAATAGCTTAACCGTCTAATCATTAAGGTAAATAAATTATTTGTCTTAAGACATGAGCCGCAAACATGTAATTATAGGTTTAGAAATTGAATAATGCTCGAAAAATGGGTATATATGGAGACAAATGGTATTTAGTTCGCCTGCTTAGTAGTTAAACGGAGTATTTTTTTTTTTTTAATAAATATGCATATTTTATTAATCTTTTTTTTTTTAATAAATATGCATATTTTATACTCAAATTTCTTTGATCCTAGAACATATAATCTTTTGTGGCAAAATAGATTAGAAGCTCATGTGAGCACAAGCAAATCTCAAAATGGGACCGCACACATTCACACCATAAGTTTATTGATTTCGATCATTTAATTTAACTTGTTTGTTTATTTTTATTTATTTAACCCATAGAAAATTAACAATTTTTTTTTAAGCAGCCAAATCTACAGTAGAGGAATCTATTAAGTCCAAATCTTCATGGAGCATA